GCCCCCAAATCTTGGTGCCCTAGGCAACCGCCTAGTTCGCCTTAATGGTAGCACCGGCCCTGCACCCCAGACCCCTCAGGTAACCCTGAAAAGTGTCACCAGGTGTTATACAGCACCGTGTCGCTGTGTGGTATGTGCTGCATTTGCGTTCTGATGTGTGTCTTTCACACAGCGCTGGGCCCCCAGCCGCTCCGCCCAGCAAGGAGAGCTCTGGCTCTCCTCCGAGGTTTGCATTTCAGACTCCTCTCCAGGGATAGAGAGTCCAACAACATCTTGTGTCCCCTCTCCTGTTTCACAGCAGTGCTGTCGCTGGCCCCCACCCCATCTATAGGAAACCGGGCTGCCTTGTGAGAGCGCAGCTGTGGGTAAGATTCTGTAGATCTAGCAAAAATCCTGCCGCCCAGCCAGCTAGCAAAACCTCAGTGCTAGGATGGCGCCAGGGGACTGGCCTTTGCTAGAGCAGAATGTGACTTCTGTATCAACTTTCACAGCACAGACCTGTTCAGCTGCTTGTCCAGGGGACCCTTTGGGGGCAGGTCAGATCTTGAGGCATTTGCACTGCCTAAGAATACGGTTGCTGCCCAGGCACAAGGCCAAGGTGCAATATTCACAGCGGCATCTGAACTCCTGGGGTCTGCGAGCTTGTTGGCCTTCGCTTCAGCTTTGCCAGGAACTTGGGGCGTTTCACCAGTTTCTGCTCAAGCCCAGGGGCCCGGCCAGCTCAGTGCAAAGGTGTTTTGATCGTCACGTTAGAGCATGCTCCATTGGTGCAAACTGCCGCTTGCCTGTGTCATTTGCACTTTGTGCAAACAGCCCAGCAGGGAGTCTGGGCCCAGAGCTATGTGGGAGTGAAAAGAGGCCTCTCTTTTCCCTTAAGAGCAGCCCGCCTGTGGGAGTGAAGTGAGATGACTTCCATGCTGTTGACATTTTTGCGCCAGGGAAGAGCAACATTCCCATGGAAACCGGGGAAATGTCACCTCTAAGGGAACCACCCATTTCCAAAAATGGGGCCAAACCTGAAATGGGAGGTGGGGCTTCACACACAAGTCTGTGTGGTCGTGGGTGTGGGTGTGTGGCAGGGGGGGCGTTAAGGGGGGGATGTGGCAAAATGACAAGAGGTGCTAGCTGTTGCCCTGCTCGATCTGGATCTGCAGCGAACGCGGCCGGGTGCTGCATGACCCATGCCTTACGGTTTGTCCCCTCATTGCCACCCGTCAAACACCAGCCCCTTGGCCTCCCCCTCCCCCAGCCTTCACGTGCGGGGAGGGTCTGAGGCTCCCTGTGCACAGCAGAAATTGACAACTCAAGGTGCAAGGCAGCGGGACTCCAGCCACGAGGGTCGCTTCACCCCACCCTTTTGTGAGGTTTCCGTGGCCCAGGTGCGGGCGCCGGGACGGAGCAGTCCATCCTATCCGTCAGCAGGTGCCTGGGCCAGAGAGCACGGGGCCGTCAGCCTCAGCTCCGCGGTTAGCCGCTGCTGCCCTAAATTGTGTCCCATAGGGTGGGGCCAGCTTAGGAGGTGGTTTGTGCCATGGTTCCCCCGCCCTGTTCACTTCTGCTTCCAGGCCTAGGGCCCAGGGTCTTCAACCCGTCCATCCGGGATGGGTTTGAGCCCTGATCCTGAGTGCCAAACCACCCCCCCCCCATGCCAGAAGGAGGCTGCTTGCACAAAAGAGACTCTGGCAGTGGGGGCCCTTGTTGCACAGGGGGATGGAACGCAGGGAGCGTCAGGGGGTGCCCCGAGACCTCTCCCCTGGAGGGTAGCAGCGTGGGCTGCCATGTCCCTAACCCCCACCCCCCCCGGCACACAGCAATCACCACCCTGGATGCAGCGGGCACCATTAACGCCCTCTTGGCATCTCGGCCGTGCCGGGGCTACTGGGCAGAAGGGCTCAAAGGCTGAGAGCCCCCTGGGGGAAGGGCTCTTTTCTCTGCACCTGTCCCCCAGCCAGGGCCTGCCTGCTCCACACACACACACACCCGCCCAGGCTGTGCGCCTGCCAGGCGCTGACAACAGGCCTTGGGAAGCAGCCGGACTGCAGAGGGCAGGGCCGTCTCCACTGCAGGGGCTTGCAGGGGGTGGGGCTGGGCTGGCAGCCCCGCTCCTGATTCGCGGGGGCGCCGGCGCCTCCCTTCCCCAAACTGCAGGCGCAGCGCAGCGCGCCCCAGAGCAGAGCCGCGCAGGAGGAGAAGCAGCAGCAGTCGGCGGGCGGAGACGGAGCGCAGCGCAGCGCCCGGGCAGGTGAGGATGCGGGGCCGCCAGGGTCCCCTAGCCCGGAGCGGGGGACGCAGCCTGGGGTCTGAGCCGGGCAGGGGGCGAGACGGTGCCGCAGCCCAGAGGTGCAGGCGGCTGGGGGCGGTGATGGAGAGCCGGGGAATTGGGACGATGCTCTGCAGAGGCACAGCCCTGCTCGTCTGATTGTCTTGCTCGCCAGCTTCTGCCTGCCCGGCCCGCCTCACCCTCTCTCCAGCCTGCTGGGGATGGGGGAAGTGTATGGCCCAGAGCACCGGGTTCCTTCGCCTTTTCCCCCAGCTCCCGCGGGGAGCAGAGAGACTGGAGCCGGGGCAGCCTCGGGGCGGGGTTAAGAATTGCAGTGATGCTCCCCCCAGCTCTGCAGCGGGCAGCAGCCCTGCGAGCTCAGGCCGTGCTGCGGGGACCCCACCTGCCGATGCAACGCTGCTGATGCTGCCAGCGCCCCCAGGACTGCAGTGAGGCGCCCTGGCCAAGCCCCAGCGCAAAGCCCAGCCGTCCTGCGGTCCCGCCGCTGCAGGGGCTGCGCTGCGGAATGGTGCAGTGGCGCCGGGGGCGTTGGTAGAAGGGGGGAGATAGAGGGTGACCCAGCGGGGTGGGGTGGGGGGCAATGGCCAGCTGTGGGGCTGGGGGGGGGGGGGGGGGGGAGGATGGATGGTCTGGCTGCAGATCGGCGCTTGGGAGGAGATTCTGGGAGGGGCTCGTGATGAGACAGGGAACCCCTTCCTCGCCTCTCTGCCCCATGCCTGCCTGCACCTCTCAGCCCACCCCTGCTGCCTTCCTCCTCCCCCATCCCTTCTTCCCTCTCCACCTCCTCCGCTCTGGTGACTCATCTCTGCTCCCACGCCTGATGAGACAAAGAGCAGACTGGATCCCAGAAAACACAGCCTGGGGGAGGGCGCTGAAAACCCTGGAACAGAAATAAAAATAAACCAGGCCCTGTAAATCAGCAGCACACTCATCTAGGGGTGGGAGTTAGAACCCCCCGGGAGCGGGACAGCCATGGGGGTGGGGGCGGAGGACACATTGCATTCAACTTGCAAGACACTTTTGCCCTCGAGGTCCCTGGGGTCGTCTGCTCAGCCAAGCCGGTGGCCATCCCTACACACTCCCCGTGGCAGGTCCTCCGGGGCTAGCCTGTTTGCAGGCTCTCTGCCACTGGGGTTCAGTTCAGGCTGCCCCAGGGATGACGGGGGGGGGTCAATATTTTGGTGAGCAGAGGCCAGTTGCTGGGCAGGAGGTTGCCTAAAGGTTAGTCCCCATGGAGAGATTTCACTGACATTGGAAATTGGTTTTGACCTGCCTGGATCTGAGCTCTGTGCTCCCCGCTACAGCCCGTGGGCCGTCAGCACTCAGCCCAGCCTGTCTCCCTGGGAGGGTATGGGGGGGCTCAGGATGGGTCAGGTGGGTGTGGGCAGGGCTGGAGTCAGCAGTTCCTATTATCACGCCCATCAGGGTGGTGGCTGAGGTTAGAGCGGGGGCACTAGCAGCTAGAACTCCTGGGTTCTCTTCCCAGTTCTGGGAGGGAATGGCTAGCGGTTAGGAGGGCACTGGGACTCGGGAGCCAGGATTCCTGGGTTCTTTTCCTGGACTGGCTGCTGACTGGCCATGTAACCTTGGTGGTTACATCCCCTCTCTGTGTAATGGGGCAGGTGATACCTGCGCCCCTCAGTAGAACACCTTGAGAACCGCTGATGACAGATGGAGATGCCGTAGGAGCATCTGTGGTCACCACGCCCCTCGCTATGGAGTCTCTGGGGCTGGGATCATTGGAGTGGGGGGATGTTTTCAGGGGAAGCAGAGGGACCTTGCTGCACATGCTCAGGATATGGCTACTGGAGGAAGGAATAAGGAGAATTTTTATATTTAAACAACTTTTTTTCAGTTCTAAATGAGAAGGGGTGGGGGGAGTTGTCTGGTTTTTAAATCAAGGAACATTGCATGTTTCCTGAACGGGGGAGGGTATCTGTGAATGGACCCCCCTACACACACACAGATCTTTAGCTTGGGCCTTACTCAAACCAACATGGGAAGCAGGGAAGAGCAGCCTGCATACACAGCCCTCTGCAAGCACACACAGCCACACCCTTTGCACTCACATCCCTTTTCTGTCACTCTCTCCCCCCACCGGCAAACAGCCCTCTTCTCCCCTCCTCTGCCACACACACATTTCTAGGGCTGCCGGCCCCCACCACAGCCCAGACACGCTCCCTTCACACCCCCCTCCCCTCCTCTCAGCCTCTCGCTCTCTTTGCAGCTCCTCCTGTGACACTGCTGCAGTGGAAAGCAGAGGGCTGCGGACCTGACAGACAAGCCCCTGTGCCCCGTCTCTAGCAAGAGCGGTGGGCGAGGCAGGGCCACCCCCTGCTCCCCAGCCGGCAGGTGGAAGGGGTGGGGAGGGGCCCCCACTTGCTCTGGCTCAGGGCCCCACAAACCCCTAATCCGCCCCTGTGCAGAGGGGTCTGGAACAGATGGGTGAGGCTAGAGGCTTGTCTTCACTGCAGCGCTGACGCCAACGTTATCCACAGCTTGAGTCCTGTCTCCATGCAAGGGAGATGCTGCTTCTAATTAGAGTTTGGCCGACGCATCAGCTGCTCACACGGCTGCTCTGTGCGGCAAAGTGGCGCCTCTCCCTGGAGCTAGGCTAAGCAGAGAAATCGCTGCATTGAAGACAGTAGCCTAAGGGAGGAGCAGGGACTGTAAGGAGCCCAAACGCGGCCGTCCAGGGCCAATCTGTGCCCCTGTTTAGGCGCTGATCCACCCTCACCCCTAGGATTCATTTGCGCTTGGGGAGGGAGTAGGATTTGGTGCCTAGGGTGGGTCCTCTGGGAGTTGCCATAGGTAAGCAGAGTCGATCGCATGCGTAGGGGCAGCGGAAAGTCAAAGGCGTCAAAAGGACCAATGTCCTGGGGACCAAATGAGACTCGAGTGGTCCCTGCCCTTTGGAAGCTGTACTTTGCAAGCAGCCCTTTTCTGCAAAGGCTGCACAGACGGGGCCGTTCTCTGTGGGTGGAAGAAAATATATATAGTTACGCATTCCACATAGCACTCAGGGTGAATTAATCATTCTGGTATTAATCATTTCCTTGCTGCTGCTCTGGGGCATGCACATCATGTGGGCCCCCCCCCCTCACAGCAGGAGCTCGCTCCTCCCTCCCTCCCTCACTTCCACTCCCCGCCCCAGCTCCTGCAGGAGCTCACTCTCCTCCCTGCAGCCACAGAGTGGAAGGAGCTCCCGGGGCTGGAGGAGTTCTGTGCCCCCGATGATTATTTGGGGGGGGGGTGCCCCGATTGCTCTTCCCCCTTGTGCATGCCCCTGCTGCTGCTCTTGCAAAAAAGTATCCTCCTGCTAATGGGGATCTAGACCTGTCCAAACTCAGTGTCCCCTCGGCAGCACCTCAGGCTGGTGTAGGTGCAGAATGTCTCTAACTCTGCCCCCAGACTCTACAGCGCCCTCTTCTGCTTGGCAAACAGACGGCTCCGTTCCTGCCACAGGCGCACACTCATCTTATCATGCAGTTGTGCCCAGCCCTTTTCTCTCGTGTGCGAACACAACTTCACACACGCACGCCATTGCATGCACACGGATACGCACGTCTTTCCCACCCCAGCCCCTGCTAACTTGGCAAAGGTGACTCTCTCTCTCTGGCTCCCCTTTCTCTCCCAACCCCCCAAAGGGAGCTGGACCATCTGGCTCCCAAGACCTGCGGTTGGATTCTTCGTGCAGTCACTTGGCCCTCCCACGGTTTTAGGCTCTGAGGATTGCACAAGCCAAAATGGCAGCTCCCTCCCATTGCACACGCTGCAAGGAAGCCAGAGGGAGCCTGCCAGACACAGGGAATTTTTCATTCCCAGTTGCTGCAGCCCTGCTCCCTTCCTGTGTCCTACCACCAGCTCCTGGCCCCGCATAGCCAAAGTGGGTCCAAAAAGCAATGTAATCCCCACAGGGCTCCCTGTCTGGCTGCCTCACCGCCCCTCACCCCTCTGCTCAGCTGTGTTCTTGGCCCCTTTCTCACACTGCATGGCTATGAGTCATCCTCGCTCACTCCCACCAACCCAGCCTGCTGCAAGGGGCCAGGCCATGTGTCTGAGCTTGGGCATGTGGAGGGGAGTCAGGTCAAAGAGAGGAATTAAGTGGGCTTGAGCTGCCTGACGCTGCAGCTCAGCCCCCCTCCCTTTTCATCTGGGGACCATGTGGGAACTCGCAGGTGTTGTAAATGTGCCCCCGGTATAGAGTGTGCTAGTGCAAGGGCCATGGGCCAGGCATGAGAGCACTGGAGCTGGGCATGCTGGGGAGGTGGCGGTGCACACACACATCTGCAGGCACATGCATTTGTGTGACCTGCTTTAATGCGTGTCACGGGGGGCTCAGATGCCATGGTGATGAGCACCATGGGTGGTGTTTCCCAAGGAGCCTAAGGGACTTAGAAGCTGAAATTTGATAGGAGTTGGGCACCTCACTCCCTTCCCACTCTTTTGAAGAATCACAGCCCACGTTTCTCCTTGGTGGGTGCACAGATACCATGGTGATGGGCCCAGTATAAGTGAGATCCGAATGCAAGAGAGCACCTATAAACAAACATAAGGGGCTGCGCATGCTGCTCACTGAGGGGGTGCGTCTGCCTTTCTCTGCTCGTGTGCGTTCACTGGCATGTTGTGTCCGAGCGCACGCGCCCATCTCCGTGCTCAGGTGAGCGTGTGGTCACGTAAGACCTGAGCCAAAGCCCACGGGAGTCTTTCCACTTGCTGCAGTGGGCTTCGGCTCCGGTCCCAAGTACCACTCGCTGCATGTGTCCATGTTGATGTGCCTTGGGTGTGCACACGCACGGATACCTGTCTGTGTGTGCTTACGTGTGCCCAGGAGCCTCTGTGTGCATTTATGGGCATGCCCGGGTGTGGTCACGTGCCTGCCTGTAGGTGTGTACGTAGGGTCGCACAGATCCCGGTCGGGTCACTAACCAGCATGTTCTCCTCCTGCTCAGGCCCCCCTCGCCGTTCTCCACCGCTGACAGCCCCAGCACAGAGGGCAGAAAGATGAATCCCACCATCAGCATCGCTGTCATCCTGACAGGTAGGGGCCCCGTGGTGCAATTATGCTGTCACCTAGTGGCCATGCTCCATAAGTGGTGCCGGCTGGAGAGACCAGACATAAGCTGTAATGCTTCACTCCAGAGAAAGCGAGGCCCACCGCATCCTCCCGTGGGGGGGCCAGGCACAAAACGAGGCGGGGGAGAGCTAGATTGATGCAGCTAGCTACACAGGGACCAACAAGCAGGCTTTGTCTATGCCAAGGTGCACCCAGTGGATAGTATGATTTCATAACACATGGGCTGCCATGCTGGGTTTCTGCCCCAGGGCAACTGGACCCCATTGAATGGATGTGCTTTGGAGTAAGGGACCTAAAATGCAGCCTTCCCCGTAACAAAGGGCCCTATGAGGGTACAGCAGACACTGGTCTTGACCCTGCCCCCCCGTTCTCATTTCCTCTGTGCTGGAGTGGCAGGCGATTTGCAGGCTGGGGTGTGGGGAGGAGGTGACTGGATAGACTGTGGGTCCAGGGACATTGTGGGGTGGGGGGATGTTATCATCTCTCCTGCTTCGCAGTGACCCCACAGTGGAATGCACTGGCTTTGTGGGGGAGAGAGATCACTCGCTAGCAGCACAATCCCAACGGTTAAAAGCCAAACTACTGCTGCAGGCGAACAGAGAGTCTCCACTAGCTGAGGTGGCTGAGCCCTCATTTTGCGAGCAGGAAGTCTTGGCTTCTCTAGCCCTGTGCGCGTGTGGTTTAGCCAGAAACTGTGACGTGTCTCCATAGCATGTGGATTCACTGCTGCATGCACTGGAGCAAGGGGCAGCGGTAGGGGTGCTCCTGCCTTCGCCGTGCCCCCCCCCCCCCCGCCGCCTGACCCTGTTGGCCTGTCCCAGTGCTGCAGGTTGCCCATTGCCAGAAGATCAAGGAGCTGAGCGCCTGCTTGCTGGGTCAGAGCCTGCGCGTGGACTGCCGCTACGAAAACAAGACCAGCAACTTCCTGACGTACGATTTCAGCGTGCTCAAGGAAAACAGGAAGCGGGTGATCCAGAGCAACCTGAACGTCCCTGAGAACACCCTCAAGACACGATCCAACATCACCCTGTCAAAGGACCTGGTGTGCCTGCAGCTGTTCGACTTCACCACCTCAGACGAGGGCATCTACACCTGCGAGCTGAAGATCACCGGTGACTACACCGGCAACCAGATAAGGAACATCACCGTCATCAAAGGTGGGCAGGGGAGGGGACCCTAGCACCCCTGGGCTTCTCGCTGACCTATCCCTGTGTGCCCCCCTCTGCCCTCCAGGGCTCTATTACTGATGGCCCAAGGGACACTGATTCTCACAGGCCCACCTGATGCCCTCTGCCCATTTAAGCCCTGTGCCCAATGCTTTTCTGAGATGAAGGCCTGTATGCTAATGCTTTCCAACCTACTGCAGCCAGGGCAGGGCCAGCAACGGAGTCACCCCTCCCCCCACACACATCCTTGCCTGGAGCCAAACCCCTCTCGCCCTCCAGTGCCCTGTGCCTTTTGCAGGCGTCTCTCGGAGGCACCCACCCACCCAGCTTCCCACTGGGCTCTGCGCTGGAGAATGGTCCCGATCGGAGCCTGTTCAAACCTAGCCCAGATCTGTAGAACTGTCTCTGGCTGCTTGGCAGCCCACACGTGGGCTGAGTTTGATGCGTCTCAGTGGACAGTTGCTAATGTCACCCCAAAGAACCCATCATAGTTGGTATGAATTGGCCCCTTTGTTACCCTGGCTCAGCAGAAACCAAGGACTAAAGGGGGCCAGCACTCCTTGCTGGGGACCCAGAACACATCAGACCCAGGACAGATCAGCAAGGTAGCATAAGGGGAAGAGCCCGACCTTTGCCCACCCTGTGACTGTTCTGTAGGGAAGGGACGCCAGCCTCCAAGGCTGTCCATCTGGAACATAGTGTATGTAGGCTTTCCGCTGGGGAGAGGCCTTTTCCCACCCCAGAGTGCCACAAAGCACCTTGCACCCCACCTCTCATGGCCTGGGGTCAGGAAGGTACTTCCCTATGGGCAGGATCTTGCCTAGTTGTCCCCTAGGGGTTTCTTTCACCTGCTTTTGAAGCAGCTAGTGCTGGCCATTGTCAGAGAGAGGACACGGGAGTGGATGGAGCCCTGACTTGATGGTTATTGTTTGTACTGCAGTAGGACCTAGAGGCCCCAGTCGAGATCAGAGCCCCACTTGTGCCAGGCGCGGAGAAGACAGAGTGGGAAGTGCTCCCTTGCCCCAAAGAACTCGCAGTCTCGCTAGACAAGACACAGAGTGGGAGGGGAAATAGAGGCCCATGGAGGGGAAGTGACTTGCCCAAGGTCATGCAGCTGGTTCGTGGCAGAGCCAGAAAGAGAACCCAGGTGTGCCGGCTCCCAGCGCCCCGTCATTCCTCTTTCCCCGGGGATCTCATTTTTGCCTCGTCTCTCTTTTCCCCTCCCCCTGCCCTGGCAGACAAGCTGGAGAAATGTGCTGGCATCAGCCTCTTGATTCAGAACACCTCCTGGCTGCTGCTCCTGCTCCTGTCCCTGCCGCTCCTGCAAGCTGTGGACTTCGTGTCCCTGTGAAGGGAAGGAGCGACCGAACCGCCCAGCCGAGCCCCGCCGCCCAAACGTGGCCCTTTGCAAGAGAAGACCATGAACGATTTGAAACCAAGGAAATCTCTCTGTGTATATCTCTCTATATAGCTGTATATCTACCGAGCCCGCCCGCCCCGCCATCACACCACACGTCCGAAACACGCTGGGGGCTGGGGTGGGTGTATTAAGCAGTATTAAAGGACCCAACGCATGGCAGCATTCCCTCGCGCTCTGCTAGATGGTGCAGCTTCTTCCATAGCACGTTCTGTTTGTTTGTTTGTCCCGGTGGCAGGGGGATCTATAGCCTCGAGGGAGCAGCTTGTCTTGTCCCATTTTTTTGTCTTTCAAGGAGGGAAAGCCAGTAGGGCCCCCAGACCCGACTGGTAAAAGAGAGAGGGTCAAAGAGTTAGGGGACCAACTGGGGAGTCCTGGCTACCACCCCAGCCTGGAGAACAGACGCTCGCTCAGCAACACAAGGTTGCCCAGGGTAAAGGCTTGTCCTGACCTAGGCAATGTCAGGCAAATGGGATAGAGTAGGGTGCACTAGCTTTTCACCTCGGGGGAGCTGGGTTTGAATCCTGCCTGGTGAGATGGATTTGGTGGGCTCTCAGCCTGTTCTTAGCAGCCATCACTTCCGTATTGCACAAAGCCATGATCATGGGTATGACTGCTTCGCCTGCATAGGAAAGGGCCAGCATTTAAATAGATCGGTCTTGGGGGTGTGAGCAACAAGGACACTCGAATACAGAGACAGCAAGGGGTGCTGAAGGTCTCAAGTTTGTGGTGCAGGGATAGACAGATGAAGGGGGCCCCAGCACTGAAACAGCAAGGGGTGCGGAAGGTTTTAGGACCGAGGTGCATCTGCAGCCCTGCATAAGAACACTTGCCCATCACTCATCCATGCTCCGCTGGGCTTAAGTCCTCACCGTAAGATCAGAGGATGGCAGTTGCTATAGGAGTTGGTTGTTTTTTAAATTAATCCTAAACTAAGGAACTGAGGCAGCAGCCCTTTAAACTAGTCAGTGTGCCGAGGCCTAGAGCTCCTTGGGCAGTGACTAATCCTGCTCCTTGGAGACTAGGGGTTAGCTGTGAAGGGAGACCCCTTGCTGAGCTGGGGCCAGCACGGCTCACTGCATGATCTCCAGGCAGTGGTCCCCTGGGCGGAGACACAGATAGCACTTGCATCTTCCTTTCACCCCAGCTTGCAAGGGGTGTGTGTGTGTGAAGAAACACTTGAGGGGGGGACAGCTCGCTCCCAGAGAAGAAGCCACTGTCCTTGGGGAGAGAGGAGATATAGGGAAGGGGGCCTAGGCAGCTGCCACCTCCCACTCCTCTGGCACCAGTGGAAGCTGCTCTGTGACATACCCCCATTAACACACATGGCTGTCTCCCGCTGGGGATCAGGGGGAGATTGCAGGAGCTGGGGCCGCCCCCAAGCCACAGGCTCTCATCCCTGCATGCCACCCTTTGGGTTTGACTCCAGGCACTAGCGAGACCAGCCCACATGGCTCTGCTCCTTGTCCTCCTTCAGCCCAGTCCCGCTCCCGAGTCGTGCTAGTGGGGGGTGGGGAGAAGGCTGCAGCCTTCCTCCCTTGCAGGTTAACAGACTCCAGTGCGGGCCTGTTCCTTAGCACAACCTTCCCTCTCATTAGGAGCCTAAAGGGCCTAGGCAGGTGTTTTCTGTGGACACTGGTTAGCCGTAGGGGGAGCGAATGCATCCCAAACCACCAAGCTTAGAGAGCGTCCCCAGCTCGAGACAGGGTCTGGACAAGGCCTACCCCTCCCCCAGCAAGCTGGGGATCAAATGCCCCAGGACTTACCAGGGAAGAAATTCCTGAGCCCACCTACCTAGCCGGGGCAGGCTAGATGGTGGAGGGTATTACATAGTTCTCTCCTGAGCACCAAAAGCATCTCACCCAGGGGTGGGCACTGGAGAGCAGAGGTCCCACTCATCCCGCTGCCATGCAGGTGAGGCAATGGGAAACCAAGATCACATGCATGGGAACTGACGAGGGCAAGACCTGGTGGAGCTGGAAAGGTTAATAGTGACTGGGGGGGGGGGGTCCCCCCCCTCTCCGATTGTGTGTGCTGAGCTTGAGACAACTGCAGTGTCAAGAGCCCTGGTGGCTGGCTAGGGGAGCTGCTTTCTTCCGTAACGCCCCGCGCCCTGCTTGTTCGCTGTACAGTGCCCAGGTATCTCTCTGCTGTACTGCTCAGGTATCTCTCCGTGTACATCTCCCACCAGCCAGCCCTGGCCTGACGGTGAATGCAATGGAGGGAGAGGGAGGGTCAGACCCAGCCAACCCACACCGACGTGTCCTAGTCTTGTTTCGTGAACATTTGTAGTGTTTCCACAGCTTGGTGTACGAGAAATGCTGTTCAAGGGGGGAAAACAAGAACAACAAAAGAGCCTGTCTGCACAATAAATCCCTCGGTTGTGTGTTGGATTCGCAGCCACCTGCCTCTTTATTCCAGCACCGGATTCAAGGGCTTTGAATTTGCTTGCCTAAGGGGCAGCCAGAAGAGCTGGCTGGGGGCAGCCTGCCCTCTAGTGGAGACAAGCTGAACTGCTCAGCTGTGTGTCCTAGCGTCTATACTGCTGCAAGATAATCCCCTCTCACGCCAGCTGGCTCTATAACCAGCCCGGCTCCCAGGGCTAGCCCTGCCGGCCCGACATGCTCCAAGTAGCAGGGGGGACGAAAGGGAGCGGTGCCCGCCCTGCCTGGAAAGCGAGGAAGAGGCGGCGGGGGACAGCTTTGCTCCCAGCACTGTTTCTTCTCAGGCTGGAAGCTCCAGAATTGGACCCCTTCCAGCCCCACCTGGGCCCTAGAGCCAGAGGGCTCGGGCTGGTAGACCTGGCACAGGGGGTCCCCCGGGGTGATCCCCCCATGCTGCAAGCGCTGGGACTAGCCCCTGCCTATAGGGGGGCCCAGAGCAGCACCCAGGGGCTGGGATCTCCGTCCGTCCTGTCTCCCCTGGCCTATAGGGGCAGCACCCAAGGGCTGGGATCCAGCCTCCCCCCCACACCTCTCCCCCTGCCCCGTGGGAGGACCGGAGCTCCAGGGGTTGGGATCTCCCCCCAGCCTGTAGGGAGCAGCACCCAGGGCCCGATCTACCCTGCCCCACACTCGTCTCCCCAGACCCATGGAGGGAGACCCGGCGGACGCGGAGCACCCGGGGCTGACTATCCCTCCCGGCCCCAGCCCCGGCCCGGCCCCACGTGCGCGCTGCTCTGCGGCGCGGGGCGAGTTGGGCGCGGGACGCCGCCCGGCAGCAGCCGCCTCCCCGCCCCGCGTCAGCTGCGCCCGGATTGTGACATCAGGCTCGGCCGGGCCCCCAGCTGCTCCGCGGAAGCGGCCGGCTCCGGCTCATCCCCCCCGAGAGCCTGGTGAGTGCGGGAGGCGCGCCCGGCCAGCCCCCCGGGGCTCCGGGTGCGCAGGGGGTGCCCGGCCCCCCAGGCAGTGCCAGCCCCCCCCGGGCGGGAGCTAGGGGGTGCCTGGCCGCCCTGGGCAGTGCCAGCCCCACCTGGGGGTATCTAGGGGGTGCCGGGCCCCCCTGGGCGGTGCCAGCCCCACCTGGAGGTACCTAGGGGGTGCCGGGTCCACCTGGGCGGTGCCAGCCCCACCTGGGGAGATCTAGGGGGTGCCTGGCCCCCCTGGGCAGTGCCAGCCCCTCCTAGGGGCAGCTGGGGGGTGCCAGGCCCCCCAGGCAGTGCCAGCCCCTTCTAGGGGTATCTGGGGGGTGCTGGGCCCCCCTGGGCGGTGCCAGCCCCGCCTGGGGAGATGTAGGGGGTGCCGGGGCCCCCTGGGCGGTGCCAGTCCCGCCTGGGGGGGATGTAGGGTCCATATGACCCCTGGGCAGAATAAGACTCTGTGTCTGTAGGAGTTCCCTGCCCCCCAGGCAATGGGGCAATGCCCTCTATTTCCCACCAGTGTTCTGGCTGTGTGAATGACCCCCCCCCCCATCCCCTGAAAACCACCTGGGCAGGCCCAGCACCTTGTGGGTCGTGCCAACCCCTAGCTGGGCTCTGTATAAGTGGAGGGTGTGGGGCTTGGGCCTAGCTGAGAAAATGTCTCTCTTCCCCTACTCACCCCCTGCCAGAGTCATCTCAGTGGTAGGGGTGTGTCCCATACCTGCCCCTCCTCCCACAGGCTTGGGTGGGAGTTGGGAGAATGTGCCAGGGCTGCTTCCCCCGCCAAAACACACAATAAGGCAGTGCCTGCCTGGGCTGTGGGGCTGGGGAGGACTGGGAGCATGTACCTGGTCTGCTTCATTCCTCCCGACCCGAGATCAGCGCCACCTGTGATCTGTGTGTGCCTGAGCCATGCCTGCATCCCCCCTGTGTGTGTGCACTTGTGCCTCGCCTCCTGTGTGTGCATGTGAGCACTTGTACCATGCCAGAACGCCCTCTGCCTGTGTGTGTGTACCATGCAAATGCTCCCTGTGGCCGCAGGAGGATGTGTTGCTGGGAGGGCTGGACCCAGATCCTCCAGCTTCCTACCCCAGGCTGTGGGAGAGTGGGGCCATCCTGCTGGCTGGGCCCAGAGAGAGGCGACTCTCTGGACACACTGGGAGGAGGAATACGTTTCCCCTGCTCAGGGTGGAGCTGCTCTGAAAATGGCCTCAACAGTAACCCGAAGATGGGGGGATGGGGTCCATCTCAAGGAGTGAGGCCTTCAGGTACCCACCTCGCTCCAGGATTTCGCAATGAAGGCTCCGGCTCTGGTATTGGCTGCTGCTGGAGGCCGGCTCAGGCTGGGATAAAGCATTAGGTGTAGTAGCACCAAATAGATCCCAATAGGATCATCCCATTGTCCTCCCTAAGGTGACACCGGGGATAAAACTGGCCCAAGAGTTTTCCCACAGCCATGCCTGGGCTGTAACATACAGATGAGCAGGGAAGGGTGGGAAGTGGTGGCTTAATTGCGTCCTGCCTAGTTACTCATAAGAGGTGGGGACTGAGTCATTGCCTTCCAATGCTCTGGAGTAGAGTCAGCTGGACCCAATTCACGCATGGAACTAACTTAGGGTAGAGTTACACCAGAGTGAATTTAATCCTGGATCTTCCTGCAAGGCACCTCCCCAGCTCTTCTGCTACTCTGTGTTCGTGGAGCCCCTGTATCCCTCACCCTGAAGAGCCCTCCAGGGGCAGAAGGGGTAAATGGCCTACCTTGCAAAAGGCTTCCTTGGCCCCATCTCCATCCCCCAGGTGGGCTGTCCCGCCACTGCCGAGCAGCGCAAGTTGAGAGGGGCGGAGACAGCTCCCATCACTAATGGCCAGGGGGTGAAGCTCTCATAGCTGGTCAGAGAATCCCGGAGCCACCCATAGGTGCCATGCAGACCCCCTACCCCTCGAAGTCAGCGTAGGGTTGTGCATTGTCCAGGCTTCTCCTAACCATCTCCACCAAGCGTCTGTTCTGTGTCGGTTCCTGTACCACACTCAGCACCGTGGTATGAGAGCACCTGCCAGACGTGCAGTAGGGACTGTGGCTGAGATCTGTCCCGCCTGTGTCCTCTCCTCGCTCCCCAGGGAGAGAAGTCCACTGCTTCCCTTGGGAGGATGCTGCTTCTCCTCCCGCCAGGTGGGGGCTGGGCTGGAGGCCAGCAAGTAGCATCCCTGGGGTGCCCCAGACCCTTGTGGGCAGCTGCCTGCCATTCCCTCTTCTCTCCGGGAATCCTATCTCCCCTCCCTTGGCCCCAGCCCCTCTCTCCCCCTGTAACAGCCCAGCCCCCTCTTCCCTTCTCCGAGAACCCCCTTCTGTGGTTCCCCCTCACACCTGACCCCCTCTTCCCTTCCTCCACTCCAGGACCCGTTTTCCCTTTAGACCCCTTACCACCATTTCTCTTCATCTCCCAAACCTCCCTTTTTCCTACCCTCAAAGCCTCTACTTCTCCCATTGCCCCAGAACGCCACCCTTCCCCCCCCCCTCCCTATAGCACCCCTCTTCTGGCCGGGCCCTGCCTCCATGACACATGAGAACCCCTCTGGCTGCGCTCTGTGGGCTGCCCCTTTAAGCCTCCCCGATGCTGGAATGTGAGAGAAGGGCTCCAGCTCCCTGTGAGGTCAGATAAGACACTATATTTATCTTGCCGGTAACCTGAGCCGAGAATTTCTGCAGCGGATTACACAGCCCCAGCCCTTAGGCTCTGCCCCTCCGGCCATTTCACCCAGATTTCCCCCCCCCCCACGCCCCCACCCCGCCTGCTGGAGTAGCCTGGCTCTGAGAGGGCCTGGACAGCTGCTAACAGGTTAGTCGCTGCTGTTTATTTTCAATCCCTTTTTCTTCTTTGCTTCTGTCGTAGGGCAAGTGCCTCCCGGACACCGAGGTGACCCCATCCGAGCAGCCAGGGCGTCCCCCCATGACAAGCCGCTACCCTTCAGCCTTGCTGCCCCACACGCAGGTGCGTATGGAGCACGGGCTTAGAGGGTCCCGGGAGGGAGGGTGAAATACAAGCTGAGAAACTTCAGAGAGGACTTAGCAAAGTGTCTCCGTTGTATGGAAGCTAAGATCTGGGGACCTGGGGCTGGGATCAGCCTTTCTGGCCATTATCTGTTCACATCGCCAACCTGGTCGTTTTCCTTTAGCTACGCCAGCTGCAACTAAAGTCTTGATCTTTGTCATTCAACCAAGCGTCCGGCCAGTGGTGATAATACTGAGCTCTTCCTCCGTAGATCTCGAAGCACGTGGTGGGCGAATAATTGACTCCACTCATGTTCTTGTTTG